TGTCTCGAAACCGATTCACCTGCGGCTGATCTGGATTTCGATCCATTCAACCTCGTAATATTCGAAGGAGTTGGTTGCGCATGCAGCTGAAAAATTTTCTCCAGACATGTACTCTCCTTACGGTTATCATCATTGGATTAAGGACAGCCCTACCCGCCAGACAGGCGAAAATTTTATTCAACATATTTTGGCAGACCGTAGAAAACTTGTGGTTCATGAGGAAAACAAACCTTACATAGCCATAGTCCAGCAGACAGCAACGCTGCTGGACTTGGCTAACGCACATTGGAATAGATATTATATTCTCGTCCATCACGAGACTCATCGTCCAAACCTCTCACTGCAAAAGTAGTCCCAGATCATCCGATGACTCGTACAACGAATCGATGTAGGTGTCGGTCGAAACTCAGCTTAATCTTGTGCGGAGATAGGCCCACCGAGAGTGGAAATTAGGACAGCGAAATGCCATGATCAGGTCATCGATCAAAATCGATGTGGATTTGACGCCAACCGGACTGATGGTGATCAAATTGGCTCGTCAGATGTCATGACTGCCTACAACGCTAGAATCAGAAAAATTGCACCGTGGTCAAAATCTCATCTGCTTCTCTACAGAATATGTTGAATATTCTCTGACTTCTGTGTGAAGCTGGACGCCATACTGGGAGCCAGCAGCCGCCATGGCGGAAGTCGTCAGAATGCAAGGTTGGTGAGTGTCAGAATGTCGTCGTTCTTCCACGACCTACAGTTGCACAGTGCCTGACACTTTGACCAGTTGCATGTCATTGTCTCCGGGTGTCGATCAGCTTCAAACTGACAAAACTCGGACTCCGATCATGTTATACTCCATTGACAGGACCGGATCATGTACGTCAACATGTATTCTATGATTAGTTTTCTACCCCGTGATTTCCGCAGTTGCAGTCAAAGTTCGCGCTCTTGAAACGAATATATCGCGTAAGATGGAGATGTCTATTCATGTCGTTGAAATCTGTAAGTTGAATTTTGGAAGGAAGCTCGGAAGATAACCCTTCTCTTGTCAGTTCTGTCCAATACCGCCTTCAGAGAAACAGCAGAAGAGATGCAATTAAGTTTTAATCTGCTTCTACATGGTCAGCAATTGAATTACTAAGATAGCAAGCTATCGAACTCATGAACCGTGCCGAGAATAAAACTTCTCATTTCGAGTACTGAAGAAGCATCAACCAACATTGAACTTAGATAACTTCTGGTTCAAACCGCATGGATGGCTTTCTCTTGCGGCTCACAAAGAGATGTTCAGAGCACAACGGCCAACATGAACATATCTTGCTCTGATCGGAATGAACTGTGTCTGAAAGAAATGTCGGGGGGCTTGCCAAACCCCGTACTTACCAAGAATTTAATTTCCACACGAATGCCCGCAAGTAAGGGCATTGCAGTCGTGAGATTCTACCCCAGAATACTTGACCTTGCGTGCAATCTTTTGCAGAATGTCATCTTTCCCTACAACCTGTGGGTGCATAACACCTGCTGATTTGACCAGTAGATGTCATTCTGTATTAAGAGATCTGGATACACTTAATACCGACGGGACTCAGAGTCGGATCATACTGAAAAGAGACGAAAGTAGCAGTTGGTGCATGACCTGTTAATTCTGGACCGCTAGAAAGAACCAAATTTCCTCGGTGTCGTTGAGCACGGAGCACATGTCAAAGTCCCACCACGACTCTTCGACATTCAAAACCTTGACCTCAGAAGTAGAAAACTTACAAATGAAAAAGCCAGAACGCGTAATATTGTTAATAGATCTGTCGATCCATCGTCGAACCTGCCGTTATGACAAGGTCATGATGCCATCCCCTCCCCTCGCTTCCCCGCGGGGCAACTCGACCCAATTTTGACTGGGAACGACGTGCACGCCAGCGACACAAGCCCAGGCTTCGTGCCTCTGAATCCAACATTCACGTCAGCCATCGATGTCTCTCTCGTACTAGAAACAAGATATACAGAAAATAGCTCCACTGCACCATAGTGGTGATATGGTAATGATGATATGAAATAATATGGTAAAACCCCAACCCACCCATTAAACCATTTGCGAGTCCCTATTGCATAGTTTTAGTTTAGCAACATCTCAAGCATCAATATTCCAATATTCCAAACATATAACGTAGCTCACAGATCGTTTTAGAGAAATTGATAGTTTTGAAATAAAATTGATAAACAAATTGTTAGTAAACTTTGACAGTTTGGGAAGATACTACCGGAATATCCTATCAAATAGGACATGGGCCAATGTTCGAATTCGCTCTTGTTGATTTCCAACTAAGTCAACCCACAGTGTGACAAAAACTTTATGAGTTTGTTTGTGAAAGTGCAGTGACAGCTTTAGTTTCATTATATCTACCAATATTTCTATCAACATTGGTCCATTGGTCTATTTCAGGGTAAATAATAATTTATGGCCTTCAAATATTTAAGATAAAAATATTCAATCAAAAAATTTTCATTCTTGCTTGTAATCATGAGCTTCAATCTAAACTTCTAGTGCAAACAAAAAATTTCTAGACAAAAGAAAAATATTTTCTTTAATTAAAATATTCCAAAACTAAAGCGGTCAAAATTGCTCAATTTCATCACATTTTATATTGTTGAATAATTTATTTACATTTAAATCATTCACGATTACACTTTCATTTCATAATCAAAGATTCTTTTTTTTTTCAAAAAACTCATTTCTCGTTTAAAGAGTAAAATTTTTAATATACTAGTTACTGTTCACTGTAGCCACAATAAATAAAGAGTGTAATAATTTTAGTGTATATATATCTAACACACACCCATTCCGTGGTATTTTTTGGGTGTATATCACTAATTCCACGGATTGGATGTATTTACACTAAAATCAACATCACCATAAATAAAATCAACTTTCTATTTCGTTTAATAAAGAATATCATTCTAAATTGTAAAACTTTGACACTTTCGGAAAACACTACCGGACTATCCTATCAAGAAATACATGGGCCAATGTCTCGATTTCGCTCTTGTTGATCTCCAACTAACGCAGCCCTCGAAGCAACAACATCGGCCAGCGTGGCCATGGGACGCCAGCTCAGATGAGTCGTGCGCGAAGCTTGACTTCCATGAAGAGAACGAATTGTGTGCAACGAGGATTTCTGAATGCTGGACCTTCCACGCCCTGTTGAGAATGTGGTGATCGATGCTACCCACAATCCAGAACCTTAAGACCCATATCGCGTAACTTTGTGAGCAAATTTCGAGAGGAATTGTCCTGTCGGGGCATCATTATGAACGACTCTGAACCGTAGAGACGGGTTCTCAAATGTGTTTATTCATGTGGAATCATTTTGTGCTCGTTTAGACGACAATGGAATGCAAGGAGGAGATGATGGACACATCGTTGTCTATCGCGCACATTAGAGCAAGCTCAGGAACGTGGTTGCTGCAACCCTGAAACAATAAGAAGCTTATGCAGGAGATGAAAAAATTCATAGACATTGGAACGTTTGATTGGATATACAAGCGCTTCATTTCTTCTTTTAAAAAACTCTTTCAGTAGCTTTAATTTGATTCAAAAATGATATCCAATCTGATTCTCAGAAAAACTACATTATTGAGCGGAAGTGAAAGCATAAATAACGATTCCTTGAATATTACGAATGAACAGATGTCCAGTCTAACATAGAACTAAATTTCGTATAAAAATTTTCTAACATCTTTCAAAGCGACACTATGACTTTGGGGCTTGAAGCAAAGTTTCTTTAATCAACTATATTAAAATCTTCTTTAAAATCAATCAGTTCAAGTGAAAATTTAGTGTTAAGACTTTTAGAAGGTCTTTTAAATCTTTTTGGTATAATTTCTTTTGCAAATTTTTCAACCATTTCCAAAAAATACACTTAAATTTTAAAATTTCTGTAAATTATCACATGATAATCACGATGATGTTTCTAGTATAAGGATTTCTTTTTCATAAAGTAGATCTTACCAAAGGTATTGAAGGAAAATGAATTTTTTCATGTATGTAATTATTTCATTGATTGGCACGAATTTAATACATTCATTTGTGAATATTGAAGAATGAGGTCATGATATCTTCATCTGCTATGATATGTTTTGTATGCTATTGAGGCTATGAATGGAATGTATATTTTGATACATTCATTTTCCTTAGTATATTTCTTCATTGTGATGATTGATTTGTGTAGACGATATGAGACATGTGAGCAAGACAAATTGAAACCACCACAATGGGTCATGATAATATTTCATAATGTCCATCCTCAAATAAATGTAGCAACGTGGTTAAAGTGATACGTTTATTATATCACGAGCGAGGTTCGTTGGCTGAAAACAAATAATATTGGAAAATCTCGGTTTCTTGTACTTGTCTTCTTTAGCTACTACAGTATAAGTAAGACTATTTATACTAAACGGTTGGCACATGCAACTCGTGTTGTAATTTTGCAGGGCATTGGGTGTGCGCAATCCTAGAACATTTTGTTCTTCAGCATTTGAGAGCAGAAGAAAATGCCATCAAATTCCTCATTTAAGAGACACGTATCATGACCACTACTCAACTCTATTGGCTCTGTCCCGGGCAGTTTAAACTTTCCTGCGGCGACTTCCAAACATATACTGAACTTATTAAGTATGACAAAGAACTTGTCCCTTCACACTCTTGCATGAACCTTTCATTACCATATTCTACGAGTGGACGAGTTACAACAGTGTAGACCGGTGTCGACCTTCGTTCACGACGACTTCGAATCTCGCGGTGGGTGGAAACAAATTATACTTCCAAGTACAAAATCATCTCCATCCCCTGTAATTTTACCGTTCCCATCCTAGTACTAGCATTCCCTTGGTGCAGTATCCAAATGTTGATCCTTTGATATGCAGCCAATTGTCAGGGTAGATAGAAAAATGGTGAATCATAGGCGGATGCTTTTATACAACAGCTTAAAACATTCAAAACATAAACATCTTCTGGTTGAGACAATCCTCTTAAATCGGAGTAAGGTTTTATGCTCATGGGGCAGAAAGTCGTGTCTCAATGCGTTCTCTTGCCCTCATCTATATGCACAGCTCTACATGTCTTAACCCATGAATACCTCGTAGTGGAGATTCTTCCTTCACGCTCCAATAGATTGAGACATGCATCCAAGAAATTTGTTACACATATTGAGCATCCGTGTTCCTAAAAGCTAAAACATGAGACAATTCCAAGTGCCTGCACGACAGATGGCTTCACATGTAAAGCTTCAAGTGCATCATCAGAGCATCGTTAGCTTATGCTTCTCAAATGCACTTCACTGAAGGCCAACTTGAAAACTTCCTAATACACTTCGGTGGCTGCTGGATGGTATGTCAATGGAGTTGAAGTCAGATGCTTCCCGCAGTCAATGAACCCAGCTTGTGCGACCGATTGTCCCCACTTTCTGACCGCAGTGTTCAACTAAGACAAACGCTAAACCTGATGCCAGTGGGCCTGTCCTCAGCGAGACCTTGAGATACAAGCATACCATAAATGCCGAAAAATCTCTTAGTCCTTTGAAATGTGATTTGATTAACGCTGGACAATGTAAATTTCTTCCAGGCTTACAGGTAACTGCTTAACAAGAAACAGGATAATCTGGGTGTCAAGAAACTCTATGTACAGGCTGCAAGGACGTCGGCAAAGAGAGAATGCTATGCAGGCTGTCCTTGCCGATTTGCATGTGTACACAACTTTTGTTGGAGATGAATTTTGCCTGATCATCCTCCTCAACTTCGTCTATGACATGGATTTATGAAATCAGCTCTAGTACTCAGGTTCGTAAATCATCAGAAGAATTCAAGACAGCTCAGCCTCGGATTCATTATTATGAGTTACAACAAGTCGTGACAGTTGTCTGCAATGTGAATCTCATTTCCTTTCTCCTGCTCGGCAAGTGGAGGTTATGCTAGTTTGATGTACCTCAGGACCCGCTTCGACAGACAATGATCTCGGCAAGCCTTTCCTGGAAATGACCCACGAACATGTGCTGCTATCGAGATTTTCTCTAGCCGCAAAGCTGCAGCAATATCGAATGATTTTGGACGTGCCTTTCCGTTGCTAGTCGACGTGTTGAAAGCCAGGAAAAAGAGATGTCAGGAAGCCCACAACGATCATCTGTACTTCCTTGAAAAATCCCCACCAGTTTGGATTTTGAGGTGGTTGTGCTGCCCCTTCAGCACCCGCTCTAACAGGAGCTCCTTCACCTTGACCTACAACCCCTTCTTGTGGAGGCACCCCAAGAGCTGCAGCTTCTCTGTTTTCCGCAGCGGGAGCTCCTACGCGGGCTTCTCTACCGTCTGCTTGAGGTACTCCACCTCCCTCTCGATTCTGACCACCTGCAAAAAGAACAGCTTTACTTGTCAAGACTATCACAGACAAAACCACGTTAAAAGAAACTTTTGAACTCCTTAAAGCACATAACATCAACCCTTCAGTCTTCGTGGTGCAGCGGTGCTTCACATTTCTCCGCGAGACAAGTCAACCACTTTTGAACACAAAGCTTTACAGAAGAGTAGACGTCGGCATTGTAAGACTGTCTATTAAGTCACACACACAAATGCATCCAGAGTAAGAAAAACCACTGTCTTTCGACGACTGACTTTTGGGCCACAAGGTTCAGGTTGAGGTCTGGAGGGCTCTCCCTAACGGGACAAGCCCGAAGTGCGTAAGCACGTTCTTCGTCAAACAGGAAATAAGATATACACACTTTGCTTTCTATTGCTTTCGTTGATAGACCAAAGAACGTACCTAAGAGATACACTCTGGGTAAAGGAAACCGGAAACATAGAAGTGCTTGACCCATATCAAAAGAACGACAAGTGGTCTCACCTTCAGTAACAGGAATGGGTTGCTGAGGTGGCATCATTGCACGCTGCGCGCTTTGGGAGACCCAACGGAGTATAGGAGCAAGCGCTCCTGTTTGATACCTGTCGATTTACATTACAAACAGAAAACACTCAAGATGATGATACACCTACAATTCAAACATCGCATCGGCAGCACCCACACTTCGCGCACCTTCCTTGAGCAAATAGTGTTTGAACGAGGCGAGTGATCAAACTGGTACAATCCCATCTACTCAGTCATTTTTGGCTTGTTAAGCAAACGAGCATCAAAAGAAAGTTCGTGAATATTTCTTCGCTCCTTCTCTGTAGCTTTGTCAGATGCGCATCTCTCAAAAATTGACTGTTGAAACCAACTCTGGCAGCAAGTACTTCAACTCAGTACACTCACACCTATTTTAGTACTAGTACTAAAACAGGTGTGAAGATATGAAGGTCATACTGGATCACTTACAAGTATACGATACCCGCGAGGAGAAACAGCAGCAGAAATCTGTCTTTCGAACCATCTTGGTTGAAGACGAAAACAACAACAGCCAGCTTCAAAATGAGCAGCAGATCCACTTGGAAGCCAACACGAAACCTCCGCACAACTCTTTGATTGTCAGCCCTCCCTCCTGCAAGAGCTCCTCGAAGAGCAGGTTGGCGTTGTCGAATGCCGTCTTGAGCGGCAGCATCGAGTCCGTCTCCCTGAGCCCGTCCAGCTTCCCCGGGACCCCCTGCAGGCGATGTTGCAGGCGCCTGACCATCGACGGGCGCTGGGGGTGCTGCTCTGGAAAATCAAAAGCATCGTCGTTGGCCGTGTAAGTATCTTCACAGAAACTAGTTCGATAGAAAGTCCAGCTGAAGCTAAAAAATCGACTCCGTCGTCAAAGAAAAAACAAAGCGAACATCTCTGTACATGATGAAACCTGGCGATAACTGTAAAGAGAACAATCATTCTTACGGTGGCATGTTGAATGATAACGGAATAAATCCTCCTTGAGGAACGCCCCCCATTGGTCCGAACATGGGCATAATAGGAACAGCAAAGATCCCCCCCTGATGCGGATGATGCTCGTGTCCCGGGGGTTGATAAAAGCCCGGAAAGGGACCAGGTACCAGAACTGGAACCAACGGGGGAGGGCCTAAAGATCCGAAGTCAAAGCCTGACCCTAGCATTGATGGATTCATGGGCCAACTCTCCCCAAAGGGCATCTGTGACATTCCCAAAACGCGAACTTTGAGAGAGTGATCACGTCGACTATTGAGCAGGTTTCAACAAAGGCAACGCAAATCCTCTTATTTCTCTTCATTCCAATTTACTTGAGGATTACCATGCCTTGACTCGATCTCTAGTACTACTCACACAAACTCCAATTAATTTTTCAACTAAGTAGAGGGGTTAGCCAGATTCAATTGAAACAGTAAACATATCTGCTTGAAATTGATGGAAATTTATTGGCTCACGCGATTTAGATCTTGAGCAAGAAATTGAGAAAGAAGAGTGACGGAAGGATGGTGTGCAGTTTTGATCAAGAGCAGCGCTAGGAGGAACTAGACTCTTCTGTGCGTTAAACACATCGAAAACATAACGCTAGTTGAGGTGCTTACTGGCATGAACCCCCTGAAAGGACCGTCAGGAGCCATGAAACCCCCTGGAGGAACACCAGCAGCATTCCCACTGCCCGTCCTTTCAGAAACAGACGGCTCCTGAGCCGAGCAAGACGCATTCGCAGCAGTGCCACTACTCGTGACTCCAGAGTCCGCCTTCATCTTCCCTCCACGACAATCATCGCAAGCTACATCTGTTTTCTCGCCCTTCCGAGACCGCAAACCCTCGCCTGACGAGGCTTCGCCGTCCACCATGACTTCAAATTCTGCTCCCCCCAATTACCAAAACCACTCTCCAATCTCCAAAAGATCCAGAAGTCGTGGAAGCATCGTCAGCTCGTGAAAACCTACCACTACACCGACCGGAGCAAGCGAGCGAGCGAGCGAGAGACGAGTGCACGATGTAAATTCACCCTTTCCCGGGCGAGCGTGTGCCAAATTCCGCAATCCGCCCCTCTATCGACTCCCCATCAAACCCCGAATTTTCCTCCACGCTGAAAATCACAGAATCCTCACTCTACCGCCAGAAATCGGCTCCGCTGCCACTCCATCTTGATCGACCCCGGGCCTCGAGCACATCGCCAGTGCTGCCTCCCGACGACCAAAGAGCGACAGGCTCTCCCGTCCGCATCGTCGGCCTGAAGAATTACCGCCGTAAAGCCCGAGTCACTTACCTAAAGGGGTCAATGTTTTTCCTCCCTGTAGCACCGAAGGGTAAATCCACCAAATCTCCATCCGACGGTGCAAGAAAATTGTCATTTTCAACGCCTTGAGTTATTCTATCTCCGATTTCAATTTCAGACGGCAAAGTGTCATTTCAAGGTGTTCCGGATTACGTGGCACCCCGCGATTGGCTAGTTTATGCGATATCGACTCTGTATTGACCACCTCCGTATCAATTATTATTTCTGAAGCATATGAAAGAATGAACCCTCCCACTGACAAGCCCCACTTACTTCGCCAGGGCCATGGTGTTCAGCTATTGGTTATTCCCGTCTATATGCCGTGATGTTATGAAAAATGGGGTTTATTCTTTCATTTCTTATAGAAATGTGATCACAAGAAGAACACAGTTCGGCATGTGTGTTTATTGATTCGTTAAACTTCAACATATACAAATTGAAAGGTGAAATAATGTAAGCTAAGAATACTACAATATTCAAAGATTTCATAGAATTCTGCATAGTTAAGATAGCTTACATAACATGAGTCTTTGTTGCATATGGTGCTCTTTAACATGAATCATCAATGGTTTGATCATTGATTGCTTGCCCAACTATAGCTAAAACATGAGTATGAAAACAATCAACTTCTTGAATTAAAATAATTGCATTTCACAGAGCAATATATGTTCATTTGATTTAAAACGTGTTGCAAAAAAATATAATTATATTCTTGCAGCTCAAAAATGGGGTTTTCAATACAAACGTTTGTTGAGGAATATGATTATTATTTTTACACTTAAATTTTCATAGCATTCTCAAAGATCATATAATGTAACATTCTACTGATTTGATACACTTGAATGAATACTAAATCTTTCATTTTCAGCATGGAAAAAAAATGAAGTTTCAAAAAACAATTCATGACAATAAATTCCAATATTTTAGTTCAATATTTTGGTACATCTCAAAATCATTCGGAGAATCTTTGTTAATCTGGAAAGATAAGACTAACAAGTTTGAGATGTTTCATTGTTTGAAATTTGGAAAAAAAGAAGAAGGAAATTAGTCCTTCCAAAAAAATTAAAATAGATAAATATTTTAATAAATTATTTTCATGAAAAAAAATTTTATTCTATTTAATAAAATAGTACACTGTGATATTAAGACAAATAACTATTATTTAAAAAAAAATCAATATTTGGAGAAAAAAAAATGTCTCATGATATGTATTTTAGGACTTTTTTTTTACTTATAATATGATATAAATATTCATATTAACGACATACACAACCACATGAAAGATATATAACGAAATAAATTAAAAAGTAAATATTTAGAAAATCAATAATTTAGAAATGTGTCTCAATTGAATATTCCATAAAAATTCATATAATTATAATTATTTTCAAATTTTATAATATGAAATTTATCTTTTATAAATAAATCATACTTTATACAGAATAAAATAAAAATGTTAATAATAGAATTCTTCCTTTACAGTTTCAAAAACATGATTTCCAAAATATTCAAAAATAATATTATAAAAAGAGTTTCAGAGCCAAATTTTGTGTTGACCACATAAATATTTTTTATATTTTATTTGTAATTTGAAATTTACAATTGATAAAAGAGAGAATATTTAAAAAAAAATCTCATATCTAAAAGATTTCTTTTTTCATCAAAATTCACGTATTTTTTATTCACCTAAATTTTCTGAATTTAAATTCTTTTTCATCAAACTAAAATTTGTAGTGCAAGAAATTAATTAAAATAAATTTTTATAATAAATTTTTTTTGAAAATAAATTTGATGTAAAAAATCTCGTTTAAATTTTATGAATATAAAAAAAAAATTCACGTTACTTTTGAAAGCGACATTCCAATGTTACTTTTCATTTTTTTAAACCTGCAGTTTTAATTTTGCAAAATGTAGTCACTCCAAAAAATTAAAATTTAAAATTTTTAAAATTTTTAAAAGTAATATTTAGTTTATTTCTCCACTGTTATTCTTAAAAGTAAATAGCCAAATTACATCTTGAAGCATTAAAAATAAAATTGGAAAAAAATAAAAGTTAAGTTTCATCATTGATGCAAACTCATCTCTTGAAAGTTTGAAAAGCTTTGTTTCGAGCATATGCTTTGCTATTATAAATCTATTTACATTTTATTGATCATTCTATCATAATTTTCATCATAAATAAATCTTTGAATGAAAAGATTCATTAATTATTATTGCATCGGCTCTGATATATCATAATAATTTTTGTTTTAGATCATTCATTTTTTAATTTAAACTTTCACTATATCAAAATATATAAGTTGGATATCATGCACATTTATATATGTTTGTAAAAATAAAAATTTATTACAAAAAATTAAAAAAAAATATTTTATTGCAATCATCATGTAATTTGATTCATCATATCACTGATTTTTATTTATATCTAAAAGATTCATAATTTATTACTATTATTTTGAATGTGAGATTAACATTGTATGATTTTAATTTAAGCAAAACTAAATGAAAAATTATATACAAAACTATAAATATGATATTTCAAATGATTCAGAATGTATGTTTCAAATTAAAACTTATATTTATTGATAATAAATTAAAATCTATATACACATAATCATATGATTCATCTCATTACCTAACAAAAAAATTCTATGAGTCATAGTCATAGGCTTTAAGTTTTGTGTACATTATGAAATAATTTAGAAGTGTCTAATATTCTCAAAATTTGAATGTGTTTAGTGATGTATTGCAATGCACATTTTATATTTTAAATTATAAATTTTTTTTAAAGTTTTTGTAACTCAAATGATTTGAATTGGAGTTTTGGATTAAAATGCAAACTTCAACGGCAAAACTTTGATACTTGAAGCTTCAGATGGCTTCAAATGATCATATGATTTTTCACGTCAAACTGCTGAACTGAATGAAACAATCTCAACTATTATTTGCAAGTCATGCAAATATCAACATGATTGACGTTGTGTTTTTGAAATTGTAGGTTTATTTTCAAAAGTTAGCTCCTCAAAGCTTCCAAAGTCTTCAAACTCCAGAGTTCTGCCGTTGCGTCAAGATCCGTGATCACCTCCGACATGTACATGGGATTCCATTGAGGAAAAAGTGGCACAAAAATTTGGAATGAAGAGACTCTTGGTCATCTTTCTACACTCGAAGTGACTCTTATGTGAAAGATCTGAAACAATTGGTCGATTTTAGTCAGAGAGTAGATGCTTGTTGGTTATCTCTGCAAGGATGCATCTAACTGTCCACATGTCTAAGACAGAAGTGTAAAACTGTGAGCCCAATAAAACTTTCATCGCTCTGTACTAGATGACGGCGATATCAGGAATGAGAGATGAAGTCTCCATATGCTGGTACCATTATCTGAGAGAGACCAAATTCTGCAATCTTTAAAGAATTGGTGTGTCGATCAAGCAAAACGTTATGTGATTTCAGGTCTAGGTGTATGAGATTATGAGGTTATGCTTCTGATAATGATCAAGATCACTGATGATGGATCAGAAATTGTATATGTTGCATGATGGTTGCCAAGTCTAATTACTTTCAAAGATCCATGTCCAAGTACTCAAACAAAAAAAACATTGTGTCTTTCTCGATTTTCCACTAACTCAGAACTATGATTATTTGAAGGCGTCTGAAACTTCAAGGATCTAATTCTTGAAAGTAAATTTGCACATAAAAAAAACTTACACATCAATCTCGTTGATTGTTGCTGATGCAATCATGATTTGCAAGAGATGTTTCGGATTATTTAGCTACAAACGTCTTCTTGGATACTGAGATCAAGTTTTACTTACTGGTGAAAACATCATACCCTCAGCATTTCATATTAAGATTGTTTGTTGTATTATTCCATGTGTTGGTTCATATATCGTATAAAATTTTCCTTCAATCAAGTGTCATATTGAAACATTGATAAACAAGTACAATACTTCACTCGTACTTTTTATCTTAAATTAGACTATGATGTCGGCATGTACTTTTCTATCATGCTCTCAATTGCAAAAGTTGACCAATGCAGGATGAACGCAAATGATTTGGCATCGTTGTTTGTGATTAACCTTTGGGGACTTATTGTTACTTTATCAAAGCCCCAAAGCAAATGGTGATCCAAGTTTGCAGTACAATATTGCACGTCGTTTCATGGTATAGTTTTATAGTGAAAATCTGAACAAATAGTAGTCCATTTTTTTCGCGATCACTAAAATTCCTACTAAAAATAATTTTGGAAATTCTAATATTAAAAATGTCTTTCTTATTTATAAACATGAGCTTCAGTCAAAACTTTTGGTGCAAACATCATAATGAAAGAAAAATCTTTCTTCAACTTAAATATTCCAAAACCAAAGCTCTCCAAGAAATTGCTCAATTTCATCACTTTCTTGAAGTTGATGTTGTTGAATAATTTATCTACATTTAATCATGATTACACTCTAGGTTCAATATCAAAGAGTTAATCTCTTTTAAAAAACCCTTTCTCCTTCAAAAAGTAAAATTGTTCATACTAGTTACTATTCACTATAGCCATAATTTATAAAATCAGCTTTCTATATCGCGTTTCAAATAACATCAATCTAAACTGTAAACTAGAGACTTGGGATGATAATGATGCTTCGCCATACTCTATGGCTTGGAAGAGAAACTAGAGGACTTTCATCGCCGCTTTGTCCACCTGTTCGCTAGTCTATTGAAATAGCCAGAGATCCAAAGGCCTCGTCACACGAAGCAAACCCTATACTCTACTGTGTTCACTACTCGTCGTTTCTAGATACGGTTGTCGGCTAAATTTTCTTCTAATTCGTCAAAAGAAAAAAAAATTGTTGTGTAATTAGAAAAATATCTTAACTTAAGCTACAAGTCAGATCTTGTCGCACACCACCCGGACGTTTGTAACTGGCATGCATGCTGGCTCCCGAGACTCTTTCACAGAAATTTCAAAGTTATTCTGCTCTTCAAGAGCCCAAAGGGCTGGAGATAGTGCTCCTAGTCATTCAAATTACTATTGTATCCAATTTGGTAGCCATTTCGGTCTCTTGGAGCTTTTTTTGGTAAGCAGAAGAGGTCTCCTTCTGACTCTCCTCCGTATACAGAGCTTTGCTCCCTACCTCTTGAGTCTAGTGTCCTTCGGCCAACTTCATGATCATGAGTTCTAGAACAGTTTGTTGTTATGATTTGTGACATATATTAGCAACCATATGATACATAATAATACATAAACAGTAGAAGCATGAACAAAATATTGAGGTTTAGCAAAATTTTGTATTTTTGCTAGAGAAGAATCATTTGTAGATAGTTGTGGGTGAAATAATCAAACAAGATATGTAGCATATAGAGTAGTATTTTTTTAAAATTATATATATGTATATATAGAACATTGAAAATTTAAATTCAATATAATATATTCAAAATTACCACATTGTGTCATATATCACGAGTTCATACACTTTTCAACAACATTCTGAATTCAATAATGAATCATGACATTCCAGATACAACTTCCAAACGACCACATATACATATCACGGTTTGAGTTGTCGCTTCGAGCGCACTGGAAGTTACATTTATGTTGGAGTGAATAATGTGACAAGTTTTCAAGGACAGAAAGGCCTTTTAATGTTTAAGATTTTACATCTACATGAACTTCATATTATAATGTAACAATTGTACAGATATTGCTGTGTAAACTACATACTTAAATTGAAATGTCAACAAACAGTATGAACTTCTTACTCTAATGTACATCAGAGCATCTTCACTGCTGCTTCACTACATCCAGCAGCTCATAGCGGAAAGTACCAAAGAGGTAAAATCATTCATGTTTCACGGGGAACATGATTGATCATCATGTATGAGCGTTGTAGCTAATTGAATGAGGCTCTCGTCTCAGTACTTCAAATTAGTGAGCTGTGGACGGTGGAGAAGTTCTTTCACACGTAGACATAAGTACCAGACAGTACGTGGATGAATGTCTTAAGTTCGTGCGACTTCCACGGGACAAGTACGAGTTTCAGCTGAATTGGTTTGGCAGAAGATTTGTCGGATAATCCAGAGTCTAAAGGGTTGGGTCCACAGGACACGCCATCCGGTCAGTTTTCCCGGCAGGGAGCCAGAGATTTCTGTACATCATGGAAAACAGGTAGCCCTCCGAAGCAAAATGAGCCAATCAACTGTAGTCTGAGTTGTCACGCTACCGATCCAGCAATGAAACACAGACAAATGCCGAGCAGATGAAAGTAAAGAAAGAAGTTGTTTTCCGTTGCGTCCGTCTGCTTTACTATTATGCAATGATCCGAGCCGAGCAGATAGAAAGACAGGTAGTAAAGGAGCAAAGTCACGGGTAGCCTACGCCCTCCTTCGATCACTCGATCATGGTCCACATGATCCAGTCTAAAAACATTGGTCAACGCAAAGGCTGCAGAGGATGTAAGAAATGAGCTCAAGGCACCGAGTGTGTATAGCTGTGGCTGAAAGAAGAGCAGAGTTCCAGGTTTCTGATTCTGAAGGATCTCCCTGCCAAATACCTTTCGACACAATGTTCAGCGAATTAGCGCATCCAAGCTTTCCCTCTCTATCGAAACTTCGCACTTTCTTTTGCATGCGAGAGTGAGCAGCACAGCTGGAAAGAATACATTATTCCAGGCTAGATAGTTCTACATTTAGATGTGGTTCGGGTTATTTCCTCTGCATTTTTACGAAAGCATTTCCTCTTTTCAAGGCAGAGACTTTAGGCACTGGACCGAGATGCCCACCGTGATGCCCAAAGTCTCGAATCGCCATGTACTTCTGGCCCGAGTACCGACGGCCCACTGACGAGGTCAGCTTGTTAAGGCCTGTGGACTCCCATTATATATGGCAGGATATATGGCATTTATCATGCCATATCTGGAGTTGGACTGGGATGAATAGCAAAGAGTAAATTACAAATCCGACATTATTTTTAACACATTGTGGAGATGTACTTTCATGAACAACGTGGAGATAAGATGTCACTTATTTTTGTCTCATTGCTATCCGTCTTTCACACCGTGGAGAAGTGATGAAGAAATGTGATGAATATACTATGATTCGGTTTCTAGTGATTTGTCATATTTGATATACGAACGAGTTATATATAGATATAAATATCTTTCTATTACCTTGTTTCTGTTGGACGGAAGCTGACACTTAGAGAGCGAGGAATGACAGATGTCAAGTATTTTCAGATTTTTGATATTTAACATTCAATTCTTTAGGTTAAAATGTCAAGGGGCTGCGGTTTTGCAAGTGATATATCATGAAACTTCTCCATCACGTATCTTTCTATTGTATCGGCTATAGCTTCACTTCCTACCATGAGACAATCTATCTTGATGCATGAAATACCGTGTGTAGCATGTCACTGTCTCTACTCCTTGCAATGCGTTCATATTCAAATTCCAAAAATTCAAAAGGTTGTGATTTGATCATTTGGGATGCGCACATGAGGAAAATGATCACATAAACATATTTACTATGAGCAATATATGAGTAATTAATCGAAATTATATATAGTTATAATATAATAATGAATATGATAATCAGGTTGGGAATATCATAGGCATTATACTAACAATTTACATTTCATATCCAAGTTCATTTCATAGCTTCTGATGCATTCTATTACAAGATTTGATATGCATGATTTTTGCTACTCCTACTTAGCCGATGATGTTTTCATCATACCAGAGGTCACATGCTCGACATAAGAAGATGGCTGGTAATTTTTGCTGATTATAAGTAGCTAATGAAACTACGGTGAATAGCTTAGAACATGTACTTGTATATACAGCTTAGCTGCAAGTCCATGAAAATCTTTATCTAGGATTTTTTATGGTTATTTCTTAATAGAGTTAAAATAACATAAAATTATTAGGATATTTGGTCACTTAATTAATTTCAATATCTTTCTAATTTATGATTGCTAATAGATTTATACCTGGAATCTTTGCATCTGATGTTGACAAGTGACTATTTCTTTCCAGTTGGTGGTCACAACATATTACATATGCTCAACTTCAAACGTACAATATGATTTACATTTGTCATTCTCGTTGTCCAATAATTGGATAAAGATTTATAATCAACTTTCATGCAACAAAAAATAAAAATAAAAATAATTAAAAAAATGAGAGTCTCTTTTGTGGATTATCTCATTCTTCATACTAGGACTTGTCTATGATTTTTTGCGGACAAATATGTAAGGTTGTGATTATTGGCTCGAATATGAATATGAAGAAGGTCTGTTCGGCTCAGACTAAGTAACTTTATCCAATAAAGTGGTTGTGCTTTGGGTTAATTCATCTGTATCACTTGTACATGAATGTGATATCAACTTAAATGTAACATGAATGTGATATCAACGTAAATGAAATATGAATCCATTTGATTCATTGCCAATTCAAAGGAAAGGCTATATCTACATACGATGCTAATAGAAAATGGATGTACTGTATCACGCAAGAAATTATATATTGTTCATGATATGTTGATATTTCTTATGAAAGCAAAACTACACTTGGCTAGTGAAAAGAAAGTGACAAATGCTGTGTTTACATATCCTACAAGTGCCACAATCTTAGAGTGGATCATGATCGAGCTTTTAGATGGGTAAAGCCTGTAAGCAACCACTGAGGATTTCAACTACAAGGGCATGTTTGTGAGGTAGCCTAGCAGACTATTAGTCTCGAGTAACCATCATCTATAGTTCTTTGTAAACACCATTTACGTAACATGTAACTATATCACACTAGTCATTGCAATCCTTAGCAGTGTAATTTTACGTAGATTTGTTTTTGATGTTCGAGATAATTGAGTGCAGTAGAGAACATTCAGTTCTGCGATGCCAATGTTTCATACTACCACCCTTTTCTTTTCATCACTTTACTTTGTACTTCGACTGTACTACCATGCACACACACTGATAATTTCTGCCATGATCTCCCTTTTCTCTTTAGACATGTGCTCGAAGTATATGACTAAAAGCGCCAAGGGACGTCCATAGGTCCGTCCCGCCTGGGCATCCAGCATAGCCCACTATGCTGGATTGGACTGGACTGGACTGCTGATTGGGGAGCTCACGTGTTACTCATCTCTAGCGAACAGTGATGGGCTTGGCTAGATCTGGACGAAGCAGCCTTGTCAGAACTAGCGAAACGATCTTCAGACGTCCAGCGACGTAGCGCCTTGGGAAAAGTTCACGTTTAAGTCGCGCTGCGTTCCATCCATTTCGCGTCAGAAGGTCATATATATAAAGACATACACCATTGTAGAGGAGGTACTCGATCAGTGACGTTGTCCGATCTATCGCAGCAGCCCGTGTCCATTCTGAGAAACAAAAACTCTCATTGTATTGCTCTTCTGAATCAGCTCACTGTCTCTTGGCAGTCCTATCGATCGTTAACAGATATGGCCTCCTGGGCGCAGGCTTTGGTGATCGGACTTTTCGTTCTAGTATCAGGTAAAACACTTCCGTTGTTGGCTGCGGCTTGGAATCTAGAGTGGCTGATTTGTGTGTTTGCGTGGAGCTAGATTGATGCTGAGTTAAGATACACAGCACACTGAGCAGCCTTGCATGGCTAGCATGCTGAATTGAATTGCGAGACTGCAACCATCTTCGTTGAATGGGCAGAAAAGTTCGGAGAGAGTTTGCAAAGTGCGAATGATGTTGGCATGTGAAGCTATTCCCAGAGATTGTTGCAGTGGCCGGTTTGCTTTTGAGCTGCCTTTCAGTACTTGAATTCACTGAATTTGCCCTTCATGGTGGATACATTCTAGGTCATGTGTTCCAGCAGTGTGAAGCTGCCTCATTGGCCAAATACCGAGAAAGCTACATCGTGAAATTTCAACCCGCTACCTGCGATGGCCCTGGTGGAAAACTGATTCTGATGGGGCCCAAGGCTCCCATAGCTCTTTATGGCGCTGGAAACTTTCAGGTACAGGGCATTTCCTTCTCAAGCCCTATATGCGATTTAAATATCTGTATCGGATGATCATTTCTATGTCACGTTTGCATTTGTTCTGTTGACGTGCACGAGGAGAATTGATCGGCCATTTCTTGCAATCGACAGGTGTTTACAAAAGCTGTGAGCGCGGGGCAGAAAGTCCCTCTGGACATGTGGAACCAAACTCTTCTAAGAGGTAGATTTGACAAACGATTCAATCACTTCGGTGGCGTGTGTGATGTAGCCTCGCAGTCAAGTGACATGATTCAGAGAAGAGATTTAACCTACAGTCTGAAATTCGAAGTCCTTCATGCTCTTGCATCGAGGTTTAAAATGCCTCAGTACTTTGTGAAGGAGATCAAACTGAGCGCTCTTGTGGATTGAACTTCATTGAATCTTTGCCTTCATTGAATTCTGTCACTGACGCATATTTCCTCTTTCCTGACCACAAATTGTTCTGCTGTTTACAGGGCCGGCTGTGTACCAGATCGAACAGAGCGGAAACACTGATGCTTGCATGGATGTGGACCCTGATTCTGAAGCAGGCAGTGGCCTTGCACAAGATGTATGCGTAAATCAGTTCACCCAACGCCAGGAGTTTGAGTACAAAGTAGTGCCGAAGATGGTGCCTGGTTGCAAGAAAGATAACAGGAACGCCGTGGCCGTGACCATCAAGTCGCTGGCGAACCCACCGTCCAATTTGTGTTTGTCTGCACCCAAGATGCCAGGTGCTCGTGCAACGACCGCAATCTGCAACGAGCGTGACGACAACCAGCTCTTTTTCATTAACGTGCCATCGATCAGGCGCCGGTAGAGACGACTGCCCAGGCATCAGATGTGCTTCGCGAACTGCGCGTCCGTCAAGATTCAGTGTTCAATAAGGCTAAGGGCCACGAGATTCAGCCAAGAGCAAATCGATCGTGATTGCGACGGAGTGTTTACAGACTGCTAGTCTTTACATGGCTTGAGATTCTTAGAGAAGATTGCAGTTCCCGGACTCGCATTCTTCTAACTTGAAGAGGATGTGCCCAATTGCATGCAGATTGTTGATTAGAACGTAGCGCTGGAGTAGGCTGAGAATAAATTTGTTCTCTGTCTGAGACTGGATTGGGTGCGGGATCTTTGATAATAAAGTATATTCATGAATTCAAACGGCAGATTCTGTTGAAGTTATGCTCTGGAGCATAAATCTGGTGAATAAGAATCTCATCAAATTTTGTATAGAAGAATCTTCTACACGAAATTTCTGGTCATGTGAGAGCATTTATTTGTAATTTGGTAGCATGGGCTTGCAAGAAGATTTTGTGACATGGCCGACTGCATCTGGAGCTTTGAGTCCTATCATTCGACTACCGCATTCCCGTCATCGTCTCGGTGTCGAGCAAGACTGTGATTTCCACATTTGTGGATCGAGAGACTCTTGTAGTCGCACAAATGTGGTGGCGTCTCTTGCTCAACCATAGCCCTGGCGTTGTTTCACTCTGCAGAATCCCAGAGTCAAAAGACCGTGAGATCGGAGCGACTGACTCTGCCTCAATCTTGCAAAATCATTCGCTGACGACAAAATTTGGAGACTTTTCTCACTTTAGGATAAGTAGACAACAATGCACTTATGAGTGAGAGTAACTTTCAGATGTAATCAGACATGCTCGTTGAATATATTGAAATACTTTGCTCTTGATTACGACTCAAGCTTTTGATGAAAGTTTGCAATTGCCCCCAAGTTGTGGCATAATGGCAAAACCCTTTCCTTTCCTGCACACGCGGCCCATTCGATTCAGGAACACCAAGACAATGTATTTGATATATTGTTTTAAAACGTTCGATATATATATATATATATATATATATATATAGAGGGGTTAATTGTTTAGTTGAGATTACTACCGGGACCAGAAGATTTAAGTAACAAGAAATTTCTTTTTCTTTGGCCATTGGGTAGACAGACATTTGACCTCCTGTCATACTTTTCTTGTCCGCGAAAATTGACCGCATCCTTTCAAGTCCGTGAGATTTATATTACTTTCGTTCACACATGAATTGAATTTTTTAAATTTCAACACTGTACAACAATTATAACTTCTACAAAGTAAGAAATTAACTAAGTCTAAATCTTCATAATAATGACGACTCGGACATATTCATATGCATAAGATCATGCACTTTCCGTGATTAGATGTTGATATATATATTGATATTAGATGTTGAAAGCTTCTGTTGCCCGTAACAGTGACTGATGAGAGCGACCCGGTCAAATTCATCACTCCGCCACAAGCGACGCCGAGGTTTGAACCCGGAAGCTGCGCAGCCAATTGAAGCTGGGACCGCTCAGTTGACTCTTTTCCATTGGGCGAACGAACGAGCGAACGTGGTGCTCTTCTGAGATAAGCTCGAACTGAACAAGCGAATCGTAGAAGAGTGACGAACTGAGGGATCCTTTGTTCGAGGGGTACACTTGGCACGTGTACAGTCATCCAAAGCACCCTCTGAGAGCTGACGTGCCCCTCGAGTGCATGGCCCTCTCGTAGACCGCAGCTTCCGTTTGCAGGGGTGGACAAATGTTCGATGCCTTTCTTGCCATCGCCCTTTGAATCAGACTTTCTGTCAGTGGCGCGAGTCTCATCGTTTCCTTTCTTCTGAGTTTTTTGGTTCGTGGAAACACGTGATTGGTGACGTTCTCGGTTGTGAGCAGAATTGTGCATGGCAATTTCCTGATCCGATGTGTGATAGAGTGATTTGGGATCAGAGTGCAAGCACTTCTCTATTCGGTCGGATACTCATCGTCCGTCAAGCAGTTGAATTTTGATGTACTGAAGTTTTCGGCTACAGTTTGGCGGAAAGAAACCCAAGAAAGAGCAAATGCACCACGAATCAATTCCCCAGCCAAGATTTCACGAGGACTTGGGTCAGGCCAGCCAGAGAATAGCTCTCGCCTGATGTCAGCTAGATAAGAATGTTCTTGTTCCTTAAATAAAAGTTAGAATTTCCGAATATATATATATATATATATATATATAAAAACATATATTTTATAGCCCTGCAAAGTTTATTCTAAACTGTTGGAAGAAATTAATTTATTAACTTGCTGAAGTCTGAAACAATAGTCAACTATTGAGTTGAATTGAGTACATGTAAGTTGGAATTGCACTGAGTACAGTGGTCATTGTGGCGGCCTTCTAGTCAAATGTTGTAGTAATTATTGACATGATATAAATAAATAAAATAAATATCCTTCCTTCCTGGAAGCCGAAAGGGCATTTTGATATCTAAGATATCCAAAGATGGATAGAGAGAATGTTGTGTCTTGATAATGAAACAAAATTTCAGCAATTCTAGTCAGATTTCATCACTACTTTTTTTTGGTTTTCTTACGAAATTTATTTCCCCGGTATGAGGCCAAAGATTTTGTAGTTCGGCCTTAACAGAACCAACATTCCCGTCTTGAACACAAAGGAATGTTATAGAATGTTTTCGTGAAGTCTTGTATGATAGCACAATAAATATGAAAAGCGAGAAAATATTAGTTAATGTTGATGTGCTGATGGACTCACCACTTCAATCTATACAATTCATTTCTCTTTCTGCCTCTCCATAAAGTTTTGAAAGAATGTAAAATATTGTGTATTCGGTATCGAATGAGATTAGTATTTGAAGTATTCCACTTAGCTTAAGATACCAGCTGAATTTTACGTACCCCATTACAAGCCCATTGATGTCGCCTTGTGACATTTTGAACCACAACGGTTACCTTAAAACGGAACATCTAATAATTAAAGATGGTCGAGCATGAGAAACTCGAAAAAACTCAGATTCTAACTGTAAATCAAATGTGGACAGAGCAATTATTGGAGATATGAAAAACAACTAACTCGTTCAGTAAGTCACATGTTCTTGAAGATATCTAGGTGGTTTTTTTGAATGGAGAATGCCAGAATCTGTCTATAGATTAATTTGATGTTTGCAGAAACGGACCAACTCGAGTTTCCTTCAGTCCTGGTGAGACGAACACTTCCATGAAGAAGCCCTCCCATGGTGATGTAACACGTGCTTCGCCCCCAGCCTGCAGAGGATCAGATCCATTAACTCAAGTACTACTGAACGGGCTTGCCACTATACTAATGCACGGGCGTGCGAAGTGGTTTCTGATGGTTTTCAGGCATCGAATTTATGCCAAGAGAAGCCGTTCTTCCGGGAAATGTTCAGTTGGATAAACATCCATATAACTCTTTGGAAGGATCCACCACTGGACTGCATTGGACAACCACAAAACCTGCTGCTCAGTAACACAAACGCTACGTACTATTCTAGGAATGAGGTAATCTTGCTCTTCTGTAGAGAACTGGCCGATAGGTAGCTGCAGTATGAAATGTTACTTATCTACTGCCAATGATACAGCTGCTGTGACCATTATATATATCCCACTGGCCAAAACCATGTTCGTAGGTGTGAATGCTGCCATAGTCAGCAAGAGAAATGGATATGGGACGAACGAAAAGGAGAAATATCATGCACACACTTGTGTGCATGTACCACATTATGATCGAAAGTGTGGTTTCGATCATAGTACACTAGGACGATGAAGAGGTCAGTCAATTGCTTCAGTGTTGAAGGCGATTGGAGGTCCTTTATTTAGTATCCATCAATGGCTCCATATGCAGGCACTCCGATGGCTTTCAGACACAAACAGAAGGCTACACAGGAAGAGCATTTTTGTAATCCTGACGGTGCTACTTGCTTGCAACTCTAAGCCAATCCGCCCTAGGCAGCTGCCAGTCGGATCTCGGCTCTTTTTGTTTAGAAGGCAATCATCATGAGGACCAAGGACACAGGAGAGCAGAGGAGCAGGATGGCAGGATCTCTACCTGAAGGAAGCAGAGCTCCGATCACTTTTCATTCAGGTGAGCATACTAGATGAGTGCATAGGGTTATAGGTTTATTACACAATTAGTTAGCTTTTTGTGCTATAAAAGTAGGGAAGGAAGGAAGGATGATCAACTATCCATCATAAGGGACTAGATTGACACCTTGAACTTTGGTCGTTCATCATCTGTGCCTAGTCTCGTTGAAATCACTTCACGATTTGCATCAAAATAGAATATGCATTGCTGTGCATCTTACGCTCATATTCACATACAGACGACGAATGTAGTTTAAAAAATAATTACAGAGCTTAGTTTGCTGTTTATTTCCTCAGATAATAGGATTGTGGTATTTTCCTCACCTTTGCTGAACACATCTGAAAAAGTAGCTGTTGATGCAATGTAATTTGCTGTCTTGGAGTCCCGCTGAAACCTCTGAAGGGGAGAAAAGTTTGAGTAAACATGCAGTTCATACTAGATCCAAGAATGTTGCACGACTGACTGCAGAAAGAACAGTAACGTAAGACACCACTCATATTTGGGAATGTCTGAGACAATCGAAGGTGCAGCAGTCATAATCAAAGACAAGGTTTCTGCGCAGTTCATTTTGGCTGGTTCAGTAGATAATGGACGTATATTGACTTTGAAGATAATACTTCCATAATCTAGGTGTGCGTTCGGTGAGCCAACTCTCGTCACTTCTAACAGATATTTCCTGACTTTTTCATCATGCCTCATACATAAGCATACGTACTTCATACACTTCAACAAATTCTGGAACAAGTTCTGCATTGGAGGTACTTCATATAGATTGAGATGGTGACCATTTGCTGCTCAGTGCTTCACATCTTCTAACCATCCCCGACGGCTTTACGTTGTGATGTACAGCACACATGAATAAACAGGTGCTCCAGCTGCACCTGCCATGGCTCGCAGTTGATCACAGACCATGAGATTCACTTAGATAAAAATTACACCAGTCTGAACGAATTGAAGAGACGCATCAACCACTGGAATTCTGGACACTTTTGAGCCCGAAAGATGTGCTTTCTGAAGGAAATATTCTAGACAGGAGAAAGCAGGAGTTTTGGTTTTACTGATAGATATAACTGTGTACACGGACGCAGCTAGAGGATGTGTAAACCTAGACGAGTGATCACATGTGGAGCACACAATCGATGCGATCTCAAACCTGTATAGAAGATGAAGGTAGACAAGCTACCTGCTGCACCATATACATGGAATGCAACAAATCAATAAGAAGGGGATGAATTTCCAGCCTTTCGTCGATATCCAA